CTTTCCTTCTTTCTTTCTTTCTTTCTTTCTTTCTTTCTTTCTTTCTTTCTTTCTTTCTTTCTTTTCTTTTCTTTTCTTTTGTATATGTGTGCTGCCGAAGTGAGCACTTTCTTTTTTTTTTTAAACCTGGTACTGGTTTATGGATTATGCTCAGGGGCACTCACTGAGCTACACTCCAAGCCTTTGGTTTTTAGGGTTGTTTCGCAGTACTGGGGATTGATCTCAGGGCTTTTACAGTTACATCCCTATACAGTTTTTGAGACAGAGTCTCACTAAGTTGCCCAGGCAGGGCTTGAACTTGCAAACTTTTCCATCTTCCTGCCTCAGCCTCCAAGAATGCTGGGATAACAAGTGCGGGCTATGGCGCTGAGGTTCTTCTTTTATTCATATAGTATTTATTTTGCTGGAGAAAATTTTGTTCTGTTGTTCTGTTTATTGTCTTCTGTGTTTTAGCCCCCATTTTTGAAATGTTTGTTAGTTACACAGGATCTATTATCCCAAACTTTTCTTTTCCCTTTTTTTTTGTTTTTTGTTTTTTGAGATAAGAGTCTTATTATGTAACTCAGGCTGGCCTTAAATTTACTGTGTAGCCATGCTTGCTTCAGCAGCACATTTACTAAAATTGTACAGAGAAGATTAGCGTGGCCCCAACACAGGGATGACACATAAATTCGTGAAGTGTTCTATATTAAAAAAAAAAACACCAAAAACCCCCAACTCACTATGTAGCCCAGGCTGGCCTTGAACTCACAGCAATCTTCCTTCTTCAGCCTCCTGAGTGCTAGATTACAGGTGTGTGCCACATGCCTGGCATGGTTTTTTTTTCATATTGTCTATTTCCTTTGATTTTTTTCTCTTAATTTAGTGACAATCTGCTTAGTTCTGTGCTCAGTTCTGAGCAGCGCAGTCAAGTCCATTTTATTTTAATGTTGGAGTACTAGGTTGGTGCAGATAAATCCCTTCTACTAAAGAGTCTGGGCTCTGTTTTTCTTGTCTACCCTGCTGAGTTCCTTCATGGTTTTGAGTTAAGATTTGTCCAAATTTCCTCTAATCATTTATGTTTGTGCATATGAGGCCTGGGAGTAGGGGACTTGAAGGGGGAAGAAAAATATCATTCTAAATTAGCAGTTTGGGAGCTTCATCTGTCTTTTTTTTTTCTCCATCCTCTCATCCAGCAGCATCTTCTTTGGACTGAGTTTCTTTTGAGTGGAACCAAGAGGAAGACTAATTAATACATTCAATTCTGAAATAAACCATGGCTCATGTAAGTTGATATTTTCTTGTTCCTAATTAATTTTTTTCTATAGGGCATATGAATGATAATGTTACCTAACTGGAATTATATAGTTACCTGCTAGAGAGAAAGCAATGGTACCAGAAATTCAGGGTCTTCCTTCATTGCTCCTCTTCTCTCCTCTCTAATTCATGTTCATATACTAATTGAATAAATCATTCCTCATCTCCCAAATACTAAATCTTCTACCAGGAATGAGGAAAGGACGGAAGTAGTATTCTTTTGAGGAAAACTGTTCAGAATGATTAGAAAGTTGAGTGAATTAGTTGAGTATAATTTTTTTTTTTGAGTCAGGGTCTTGCTATGTAGTCCAGGCTGGCCTTGAACTCACTATGTAGCCTAGGCTGGCCTGGAATTTGCAGTAATCCTTTTGCCTCAGCCTCCCAAGTGCTGGGATTATACGCATGTGCCACCACGCCCAGCAAGTTGAATATAAATTTTAAGTTGGGTTAAGAAGTGGGAGAAGAAATGAGTGGGGTGAGTAACAATGTGAAGGTAATCAGAGAGAAGGGTACTTGATATTTTTAAGATATTGGAGTTACTGCTAATGACACAGACTAGAATACTAACATAAGGAGTGAATGAATTAGAGTGGAAAAGAAGATCGTTGGAAGGATTTAGCATGTGAATATTTGATTTTTAAAACTCTTCTCTATTAATTAGGTAGCATGTGAATATTTGAAATCACTGAAAATTAAAATTAGTATTAGAGATCGTGACACTGGGCCAGGAGCTAAAATTCCTCAAGGGGGAGCCAGGCATGGTAATAATACATGCCTGTAGTCCCAGCTGCTTGGGAGGCTAAGGTGGGAAAATCACTTGAGTGCACAAGTTCTAAGTCAGCCTAAGCAACATAGCAAGACCCTGTTTCAGAAATGAATAAAGGGCCGAGGATTTAGCTCAGTGGTTCTGCCGCCTACCTCACAAGCACAAGGACCAGAGTTCGATCCCCGGTACCGAAAAAAAAAAGATAAAGAATAAAAAAAAAATTTCTGAGGGGCAAGAATCTGTGTGTTGACAAATCATTGCCACAGGGAGAGGTAATACATAGTATAATCCAATGAAATGATGATGTTATATTTTAGAGAAGGGACAGTTTTTTGATACCAGCAACAAGGTACAAGGAGGACAGTGTTATGAAGTTTGTGGGGGGAAAAAACAGCCACCACTTGAGATGTTCTCATGGAACTAGTGTTTTCAGGGGGTGAATGGTTAATTAGATCACTCTAATGGTAAATTTATGAGCTTCACAATTTTGGGTTTTCCAATTAAATGTTATAGAAATTGGTGTTGAATGATTTTACCCAGTGGGGAGACTTTTTGCTTAGTGAGGCTTTGGGATCAGATAGAGATATGATTGGTTTTTGCATAGAAAAATCAAAGATCTTGCCAGCTTATAGACAAACACCTACAAACTCCAGTTTTAGATTGAACAGTATATGTTAGCCTGAGGTTATACCTATGTGAGTCCTGATCATTCTGTATTAGTATTCTTGAACTCAAGAACAGAACATAGTAAGAGTACAGGGAGAGTTAATGAATGATAACAGTTAAGATTTCTCAGTATAGTTGCAAAAACAAAAAGGAATATGTGCCTTAGAAAAAATTTTAGAGACTTTGCCCATCTAGAGGTACAAGTTTAAAAGAATGATTAAGGGCCAGAGATGTAGCTCAGTGGTGCCATGCCTGCCTGGCAAGCACAAGGTCCTGAATTTGATCCCTGGTACCACACACACACACACACACACACACACACACATACACACACATAAAAGATTAAATTTCTTTTTTTAAAATTGTTTAATTAAAAGACCAAATGTTATGCCACCAATAAAAAAAAGTTGCTGGGCGTGGTGATACACACCTGTAATTCCAGCTACTCAGAAGGCTGAGGCAGGAGGACCACATGTTCATGCTTAGCCTGGGCAACTTAGAGAGAGCCTGTCTCAAAAAGTTTTTAGGGGCCGGGGATTTAGCTCAGTGGTTCAGCCGCCTGCCTCACAGGTGCAAGGACCCGAGTTCGATCCCCAGTACCAAAAAAAAAAAAAAAGTTTTTAAAGGACTGGGGGAGGGGCAGAGATTTAGCTCGGTGGCACCATGCCTGCCTTGCAAGTGCAAGGTCTTGAGTTCAATCCCTGGTACCAAAAAAAAAAAATTAAATAAATAAAATAAAGGGTTGGGGATGTAGGTCAGTGGTAGAGCTCCCCTGCATTTGTTTCCCAGTACTGCCAAAAATAAAAATAAAAAATGAATAATTGATAATTTGAAATAGGAAAAAAAGATCCAAAATGGTAGGGGAAGTGGGAGGGGAAGGGGAAAGGAAAGAAAGGAAAGGAAAAATTATGAGAAAAGGAAAAAAATGGAAACAAAGTCTTTGTAAATAGGGAAGGGAGCACAGGGAATGGGGTAAAAATAAGAACCAAGATACATCATGTACAGGTACAAGCACCCAATGATAAATGTAAACATATTGTATACCTAAAATGTACCAATAAAAGAATTTAAGGGAAAAAAGTCACACTATTACTGCTGTATAAGAAACACCTAAAATTTACTATATTAAAACAACAACAATAGTCATAGTTTGGCTGGGACATCTGCATCTGAGCAGCACTCAGTAGGGAAGGCTTACCTCTCTGTTCCTTATGATATCACCTGAAATGGCTTGATTAGAAGCTAGATGACCCACTTTCAAGATAGTTTCCTTACATTGTTTGTAAGCTATTCATGGCTGTTCTTTTCTTGTCCTGTGAGCTATTCCTTGGGCTGCTTAAGCTTCCTAGAAACATGGTGGTAGATTTCAAGAGCAAGTATCCCAAGAAAGTAAGACAGACATAAAAGATATCTTTGGCCTAGCCCTCAGAAGTCCCATAATCACTTCTGCCATATTTTAGAGTTAAATCACAGTCCTCTCAGGATCAAGAGAAGGGGGCGCAGATCCCCACACCAATCCGGGGGGAACATGTCAAGGTTACATTAAAGAAGAGAATGTAGGATGGGAGAGATTGCTGTGTTCATCTTTGGAAAATATAACCTGCACCAGCTATTTACTAAAGAATTTGAAAAGTAAAAATGCCTGTGACATAAAAGTCATAATGATGGAAGAAAATCTTCAAGGCTTTCTTTTTCAGTATAGAGATTTTTTTTTTGGAGGGGTGAGACATTCTGGAAAGATTAAAGTTTTCAACTATTTAATTTAACTGGGAACTTCTACATATTTTCTTAATTTCTCAATGATTGACTAACAGGAGTTTCCCACCATTTACAAGAGAATGTGCCTGCAGAAACTGAATTCGTTGAGGACATGTCCTGTAGGCACTCTGCTTTAGTCACAGTAAATTTCTTTTTTTACCCATGTCACAGGCTTAGCCCATACCTTCACTGTTTCCACCCTTTCTTGCAGTGCTTCTTTTAGAACTTTCCTTTTAAAAAATATTCCTGGGCTGGGGATTTAGCTCAGTGGTTTTGCTGCCTGCTGCGCTAGTGCAAGGACCGGAGTTCGATATCCGGTACCGAAATAAAAAGTTCCTTATCATTTCAAAATACATTGCTGTGCGCTGTCATTTTAGGGGCTGGTGATGTTCAGAGATGTGGCTGTAGATGTTTCTCAGGAGGAGTGGGAATGCCTGAACCCTGCACAGAAGAATTTGTACAAAGATGTCATGTTGGAGAACTATAGCAACTTGGCTTCACTTGGTAAAGTTATCTAACAGTTCAGAGTGCCTCTTACCAACTCAGAATGTACCTTTTAGAATTTCTGCTTTCTCCCCTGTGAATCTGAGGACTGGCTTTCACTTAACTAGGTGAATTTTTTCTTTCTGTAGAAATGAACATAATTAGATGAAAGTGCACTTTCATTTTCCCCATCCGTACATGTTCTGATCATTTCTTATAATAATTCTTCCTTGATGGCAGAATTGGAATTCTGCAGCTAAAGCATAACATTGTCAAAGAAATCAAGTTTTGTCTCTTGTTCCCATTGTACTACACCTACTGGTGCACTAACATAGATTAACTCAAAAGACATGGGTGCCAAGGGTGAAGGTCTTTTGGTTTCCTGATTAATGTAGTAGTAATCTGATCACAGAAGGTCACTTACTATTGACAGCTCAAATAAACACTATTCCATTTCCTATACCAAATGTACTCTCTTACATGGTTTACATTTGCAAGTTATATTCTAAGAACATCATTTCATTTAATATTAGAAAGATCTGAGAATAAATATCTCAGGAAGCTTGTTTTTGCATAGCAAAATAAAGAGAAAGCTTATATAAAGTTTAATATTTATTTTGTTTCATATGATCTTGAATTCATTTGAAAATGACTTATTTCATCCCTTATTTTTTCTTCTATAGACTTTATCAAGTACATCTTGACTTGTGATTTATTTTTATGTTGATCAATTCTGAGTCACTATTTTGGTACCTTCATTTCCATCTCATCTCAATTTCTTTTCTTATAACCAGGACTTTCTATTTCTAAGCCAGCTCTGATCTCCTCATTGGAGGAAGGGAAGGAGCCCTGGATGGTTGTAACGGAAGTGACAGGAAGACGGTGCCCAGGTGAGTGAGCCATAGCAGGAAGCAGGAAGCAGGAAGCTGTTGCAGAATATTGGGAGCTGGTCAGAATGTTGGGTTAACAAGGCTATTAGGAAAAATAATTATGGAAATAATTTTAGAAAACTGGACTTCAAAACTACAGTACAGTAATAAAATAGGGTGCTACTGGTATAAAGACACACATATAGACCATTGAAGTAGAATAGAGAGCCTAAAAATAAATGCTTATATTATATATACTCACATGATTTGAGACAAGTGTGAAAAGATACTCAATAAGGAAAGGACAGTCTTTAACGGTGTTGGCAAAACTGGATATCTACAAACAAAGGAATAAATTTGGCCCCTTATCTTACACCATGTACAAAAACAAACTCAAAGTAGACCAGAGTCCTAAATCTGAGGTGAAACTATAAAAACTCTTAGAATAGGGCTGGGGATTTAGCTCAGTGGTGCTGGTGCCTGCCTCGCAAGGTCAAGCACAAGCATACCAGAGTTCAATCCCCGGTATCAAACAAAAACAAAAACCTCTTAGAACAAAATATTAGGGGAAAGCTTTATGACATTGAATTTGGCAATGATTATTGGCTATGACACCAAAGCACAGGCAAAATAAAAAGCAAAAATAGGTCAGGTAGTGCATGCCTGTAATCCCAATATTTGGGAGGCTGAGGCAGGAGGATCACCATGAGTTTGAGGCCAGCTTAAGCTACATAGTAAGTTCAAGGCCAGCCTGAACTACATACACCCTGTCTCAAAAACAAACAAATAAACAAAAAAACAGCAACAACAAGAAGCAAAAATAGAAGAAATGGGACTCCATCAAATGTAAAAATTTAGGTTCACCGGAGGACACAATCAACAGAGTGTCTATTAATTTTTTAAAAGTCATACAAGTTGCTTTGGTAGATGATGGGAGTAAAGTTTTTTTAGGGGAAGAGGGAGTACTGGGAACTGAACTGAGGGGCAGTCTACTACTGAGCTACACCCCAAGCCCTTTTTGTTTTTTATTTTGAGAAAGGGTCTTACTAAGTTGCCCAGGTGGGAGTTGAACTCGCTATCCTCCTGCCTCAGCCTCCCAGAGTGTTAGGATTATAGGTGTTCAAAATCATGCCTTGCTAGAATAACATTTTTAAA